CAGAAGACACTCACCATTTAGGCATCGGAGAGTATACACTAACACTAGCCTTTCTTCTTTTTTTTAAAAAATATGTATTTTATTGATTTTTTAGAGAGGAAGAGAGAGGGATAGAGAGTTAGAAACATCGATGAGAGAGAATCATCGATCAGCTGCCTCTTGCACACCCCCCACTGGAGATGTGCCCGCAACCAAGGTACATGCCCTTGACTGGAATCGAACCTGGGACCTCTCAGTCTGCAGGCCGACGCTCAATCCACTGAGCCACACCGGTTTCGGCAACACTGGCCTTTCTGAGAGCTGATTCTTTAACTGAAAGGAAAATGGACATGTTCAACCAGTTCAACCAGAATAAAAGAGTAAATACACACATCCTGGCTAGGAAGAGAACATTAATAACAAAAGTCAACTTAAGAAAACATAGCAAACCTGAATAATCATGGCCAAAAAACTGTGAATAAGTCAGAAAAAGAAAAGCGCACCCAGCCAGTGTGGCTCAGTGGTTGAGCATCAACCTATGAAGCAGGTCATGGTTCGATTCCTGGTCAGGGCACATGTCCAGGTCGTGGGCTCGATCCCCAGTGTGGGGCGTGCAGGAAGCTGCCGACCAATGATGCTCTCTCATCATTGATGCTTCCTTTTTTTTTTTTTTTTTTTTGGTGGTGGTTGTTTTCTTTTTCCTTTTTAAAAAAATCATCATTGATATTTCTATCTCTCCCACTACCTTCCTCTCTAAAGTCAATAGAAGTAAATATTTTTAAAAAAGAATATTACTAAGCCTAGTCAGTATTGCTCAGTGGTTAAGCACTGAACCATGAACCAAGAAGTCACCAGTTCATTCCCCCTCAGGGCACATGTCTGGATTGTAGGCTCCATCCCCAGTAGGAGGCATGCAGGAGGCAGCTGATCAATGATGTTTCTCTATCAATGATATTTCTCTATCATCGATACTTCTACCTCTCTCTCTTTCTCCCTCTCTCTCAAAGAATAGTATTATCCAATTCAGAGTTTAAAATCCTTTTATTTTCTTAATGAAAACTGCCTTTAAGACAATGTACACAAATGCCACGTGGCTTTCCTTTTCCCGAAACACAGACAATGTTAATACATTTTCTGAAATTTTAATTAAAAGTAACAACAAAACCCACTTAGGCTGTCTAAAAAAACAGCACAGGTGCCAGGAGCCTGGGGGACCTCCTGACGCCCCGCTCCTGGCGCCCGCGCAGCCCCTGCAGCTCCCCCCGCGCGGAGCCCGAGGAGCACGCCCCTCCGGAGGGCAGCGTGCGTGCGGCCGGCCCCACGGTCGCCGCGCCGCGGTCCGGCCGCTCACTGACACTGCGCTTTCTCCCAGAGAGAAGAAAAGGCCAGGATGAGCAATCGGAAAACCACACATGGAGGAACTGCCTGTGCATCTTTTTTGTGGGCACGCTCTTCCAAGCATACAGACATGAGGAAACTCTCAAGGAGAAAGTGAAGGAAGACAAACTACAGTACGCAGCCATGGCCAAAGAGAGGAAGACGGAAAACGACGAGCTGGAAGCCAGGTACCTAGAACCCTCTCGGCCCCTCTCCTCTGTCTCCTGAGCTGCTGGAGCCACACTACGTCCTCGGGGCTGGGGGTGGGAGGGAGAGGGGAAGGGGCGGAGTGGTGGCGTCTGTCCTCTTGGGCACCCCGCCTGTGGCTCGCCGGAAGAACCCTGCCTGGGGCTCCCTGTTCTCTCCTGTTGTCTAAAATGGTGGTGACATCGTAAGGCTCACACCAGGAGGCAAGGTGACAGACTCGCTGAGTCAGACCACAGATCTATATAGACTGCCCGGGGTTCAAATTCCAGCCCCGCCACTTAACACCTGGGTGACCTTGGGCAAGGTCAGCCACTTGTGTGCCTCAGTTTCCCCATCTGCAAGCTGCGGTGAGGAGGATGTGAGCTAATGTGCGTAAAGCACGTAAAACGATACCCGGCACACGGCCCGGAGCCCCCGTCCAGGCTCAGTTCTGTGCACACACGTCGGGCCAGGGTCTAAAAACCTGCTTTCCGTGAGCTCACCTCAAGCCGGTGGGTCTGTGGGAGAAAGCAGGAAACGGGACGTAAGCACAAAGACTCAGGAGGCTTTCCAAGGCTACTCCTGGCTGCTAGTTGCTAAGAGAAGCATGGTTCACAAGGCGCTGCAGATCTGGTCTAGAGATGGTGTCACTTTATTTCAGCAAATTATGGTCAGCTTTACTCCACATGCAGCATAAACCCTGGTTTGGGGCCCTAGCTGGTTTGGCTCAGTGGATAGAGCATTGGACTGTGGACTAGAAGATCCTGGGTTTGATTCTGGTCAAGGGCACATGCTTGGGTTCTGGGCTCGATCCCCAGTGAGGGGCATGCAGGAGGCAACTGATCAATAATACTCTCTCATCATTGATGTTTCTATCTCTCCCTTCCTCTCTGAAATCAATAAAAGTGTATTAAAAAAACCACATTGAGAAAGTTGCTTTAAAAAAACACACCTGGTTTTGAAATGACAAAGAAAGTAACTAACTGGCTGGCACCGGTTTGGCTCAGTAGAGAGAGCGTCAGCCTGTGGACTGAGGGGTCCCGGGTTCGATTCCGGTCAAGGGCATGTGCCTTGGTTGCGGGCACATCCCCAGTGGGGGGTGTGCAAGAGGCAGCTGGTCAATGATTCTCTCTCATTGACGTTTCTAACTCTCTATCCCTCTCTCTTCCTCTCTGTGAAAAATCAATAAAATATATATAAAAAAAAAATGTAACTAACTGTCTCCTTCTGTTTGTGTCTGGCGTTAGGCTCATGGTGTTGGGCTTGAAAGAGGAAGAGGTCAAAAAACAGGACGGCGTGGTGGACATTACTGTGATCAAGGAGCCGATGGACGTCACGTCCCTGCACTTAATGCTGGCCCTCCCCAAGGAGGACTCGGTGCTGGGCCTGTCCAAGACCATCGTCAGCAAGAAGAGGAAGAGATAGAGGCGAGCGCGTTGGTGAAGGAGCCCCCGGAGCCCGGGTGTGCCAGGTCAGAGCCCGAGCCCGGAAAGCCCCTCCTGGCCAATAAAGCGTGTTCTTCTCCCCTCCCCGTCTTCCTGGGCTCGCGTGCCACGCCCTGTCCGTTCGCTGTTCCCGGCTTTGCTAAGGCTAGGCCACCGAATGCCTGCACCCTGAAAACACATGGGTGTGGGTAGCAAATGAGTGTGTATTCCACATGATTGGTGATTATGTTTAGACTTTGATAAAACCAATCACATATCAATGGGGAGTAGATGAAATCATTGGAACCGTTCTTCGGGCACCCTCCCCAAAACAGCTCCTTTGCCCCTTGTCACCGCCCCGTGTCCATAGTCCACCTGTGCCTCTGACGGGGCCCCTTCCCAAGAGTTGGCACCACAAACACTGCGTGACCCGAGGCCAAACAGCAGGGTCAGGATCGGGGGTGTAGTTGGCGGCGAAGTGAATACTCTGAGTCTCTGTTAGGAAACGTCAGAGCTAATATTCTGTTTTAAAATTTAAGACTCTCCACCAAAAGCACAAAAAGAAAATTTCTAGCTTCCAAACTGGCAGAAGGAAGGAAACTATCATCCAACATAAATCTTGGGGAAAAGGAAAACAACAAAGAAAACAGATGGAAACAGAAAACAAAAGATGGAGGGAGAAGTGCCAAGATACCAGTCACCAATGTTACAGGCTAACCCCGCCTCTTCCCTGCCCAGCCCCGGAAGTCCTCAGGTTGGATGAAAAATACAAACAGCATTTCAATGTTCCTTTTTACAGGGGAAAACATCTTTAAAGCCATCTAGAAAAGATAAAAGTAAAAGTAGGAAAAATGCACCCGGAAAATCTAATCAAAATGATTAGAAAGCAAGCATTATTCAAGGTCGACAAAATAGAATTTAAAGCAAATATCAGCACAATACAGATAAAAATAATTAAAAGGACCAACAACCAAAAAGATGCAGTACTCCCATGCATCTCCCGAGCTAGCCTTGCAAACAGACCAGGAAGAGCAACACTGAGGAAGGACGCAGACAATTACAGTACCTACACGAAACCCTTTGAACTAACAGAGTTAGAGTCAGCATGCAACAGAGAAAAAACACTGGCTACATTTTTGGTTGAAAAGTGCAACAGTTTCAAATGACCCCTCAGAGATCGGACCTCATGGGACTGCAATTAGCAAGTCAGCAATAAACATAAAGCATGCCTTGATGGAGAGGAAATCACAGTGGAAACTGCTTTATGCAAGACAACAAAAAACGCTACAAATGGATGAGGAGTTTTTCCCATCTCCTCCCTCCCTCACAAGGGCATGCAAGTTGGATGGGAACTGAACCCGTGCGGGCTGGGTGGGCCCAGTGTTTCTAGACCATGCCTGGCTTGTTTTCACCCCGACTCGGGGGGACCAGGCCACTGAAGGCCAGGTTTTAAAATAAAACCCAGCCAGCTCCGTCCCAGCTGTGAGGCTGCTTGCAGAGTGTCTAGGAGTGAGTCTACTTGACAAAAACGCTGTATGTTTAGGCCATTCTGGGGCACTTCCACTAAGCTTAGTATGACATGAGATCAAAAACCACATCAGTAACTCAGGATAAACACCACGGCTAGCAATTACTTTGGGCAAAGGACTTAGTTCACCACTTTAGCTGCTGGAGTAGCCCCAGGACGGGCCAGGGGCCCAGTGGCCAGTGTGGTCCACACACCGGCAACAGGAGAGAGAACGAAAAACCGGAAGTTTAAAAACTTTAACAATTTATTAATCTTATTTTCCAGTAAAATATTCACATAATGTCCAAAGAATGGAATGATACAATGTCGTTGGCTAATTCCACATAAATATTTAAAATCTAAAAACTCCAGAGGATCATCAGACTGAGTAGAAATTTGATTCTTCAGAGCAAGTATTGCTTTACTATTGTCATTAATCCAGTCAATAATATGACCAATAACCTGCAGTGTAAACAGAACGCTTGCCGAGTTGCTTTTTAAAAAATGCTTCTGCGAGCTGTTACCGGTCAATCCAGGAAGAAGATGTTGTTGAACTGCGTGGCGCAAAGTTTCTTGACCTCCTCTGCGGGGAGAACAGAAAGCAGTGAGTGAGGGAGAGCTTTTCACTCAGAGGGTATATGACACACATTAGTACCTTCATTCTTCTAGAATAAGTTGGGAATAAGTAATTATCTGCCTTAATGTTGATCTGATTTCTAAGAAACCGAGGCAAGAAATGTCAATAAACTACGAGAAAGAAAAAGCCTGATATGCCACGGACGTCAGTGCTATTTAACAGAGAAACAACGCTGCTTTGGGCCCGAGGAAGCTCAAACCCAGCACCCAGAGGGCCCGAGACACCCCCAGAGAGGGCCTCAGGGGCACAGCTTCTAAAACCTTGAGAACTCTGATGCAAGCAGGAAACTCCTTGCTCCCACGGCCCCCCTCTCATGCTTTGACTCGATGCCCATTGTGCTGAGCATGGCCTCCCTGCGGTTTCTAACGCACACGCTATGCATGTGTGTGACAGAAGGGAGAAATGGAACACGCCCTCGGAGATACCCCCACAGAGAAACGCACACCTAACTCTGCTTACAGGTGGCAGGCACTTGGGTGCATCCCCACTGTCCCCTCCCAGCTCTGGTCTCCTGCCGAGCCGCCACGGGGTTGGGTGCAGGGAAGAGGACACACCCTTGCCTCCTGGCCAGCACAACCGCCAGGGTCAGTCACAGCAGTTGCCGGGATGACAGCGTGCGGAGGACCGCTCTGGCTGGAGCGGAAGCAGACTGGCCTCAGCGTTACTGCTCCCGCACAGAGTGGCCGTCAGCGGCTTCATGAGCCTGGCTGCTCTGCTGTGAAGCATGTATTCTCCCCACCGGAAATAAGGCCTGGTTCAGCCACAGGATGGGAAGCCATGGGATTGTCTCCTTTGGCATAAAAATAGTTTTCCTTTGGCCACTGTCTAGTTTGCTGTGACACAGGCAAGTTTTTCACATACTTTCTTGAGGAACAAAGCTATAGGTCTCCTCCAGGCAACGGAGGCATCTGCTTGAAATCTCAACAGTCATGCTGTTCTATTGAGCACGTGTCTCAGTACAATGAAGACAGTGGTGTTTAAGTACCAGAAGCATTAAAAGTTGCTCAGATACCAAAACCTATTTACCATTTACTTCAATCAGGTTTGCATTTTTTTGATTCAAAATAACATAGAGCTCCCGCTGGTCAGACTTTTTCCCAACAACCCAATAGTCACTCATGGCTTTCACGATGATCTCCTCATCTTCGTCCACCCTGCAAGACAAGAGGTGCGAAAGGCAGCGGTTTATTACACACAGGCAGGCTGTGCGGAGCTACGCACAACCGGAACTCTCAGGGTCTGAGAAGTTCGGGGAGTCCCGTGGCTATGGGCTTAACGGTGGGTCTGGAAGCTTGGAGGCGGCAGGGCCTCCGAGGGGCCGTGGTCACTGGGTTGTGAGGACGATTCCCTCAGCGTCTCTGCTGATCGGCAGGGGCACCTCGCCGGAGCGGCGGTCAGATTACCTGGTGAAGTCACTGTTGATGTCGCCCAGAATCTTCATCAGATCCGGGTGAACAGACGTCAGTGACACGCTGGGCGTTTTCCTCATGTGGATCGTACTTTTCTCTGCCAAGTTCATGTGGTTGAAGTAGATGAACTTAAACTGGGGCTCCTTCTCAGACCTGTGAGGACAGCGGGAACTGTCAGCGTTCTGAAAGGTCCTCCAAACTCGGATCCGTGCGGCCAAGCCCTGGACTCCCAATGGCAGGGCCTGCCAGGCGGATCTCCATGAAGGTGTGACAGCTCCTCATTGGTTCGTGCTATCTGTGAGGCATCCAATCTGATGGAATTTTCTGGAGGGCTGAAGTGTATTATTTAAAAAATAAAAATACTTAAACCGTTTTATGATTTTTCTCAATAAAAGTATAATGTCTTATAAATGGCAATCACTTAAAATAAATAAAATAAAAAATAAAGGCAAACTAAATGAATACAGACCATGTATCTCCTGGCCCTGTTTTTATAAATAAAGTTTTACTGGAACACGGCCACACTTGTTAATATACCACCTGTGGCTGCTTTCACACAAACAGCCATTGAGGGGATGTAACCTACACAGCCATGAAGTCTAACGTACTTATTGTTCGGCCCTTTTCAGAAGTCTGCTGGCCCGTTAGGAGCGTAACATCTCCTTTATCCCACTGAACTGGGAACACGCGTGTTCGTGTGTCAATCTGCCACAGAACTGAAGCTCACTACTGGTAACCAGCAGCACTGCACCCTCCTGAGTGGAGATCAGCCTTTCTGGTGAAGGACGATGCAGCTTCCATTGCTGTGAAGGAGTGGGTGTTACCCCACTGGCCCCAGATCAGGGCCTGCGGCTTTTCGGGGTCCCACCAGACAGCTGGGCCACTAGATGCAGGGCCTCCTGCCCTCCCTCAATCACAGTCTGGGGCCTGGGTGGCCTCTGAGGGCTCAGGGCCTCTGCTTACGTCCGGGCTCTGGACGAGCGGGTTATTACATAATACTGTACATCTAGGCAAAGAAGGCACGTGAGAGCTTAGTTTCCAGGAAAATGAAAAGAGAATTCTTATAAAAGCAGAATTGATGTTGTTAACCCTCACACAGGGTTCTTTCCTCCATTGGGCTGGTCGAGTGGGATGTGGGGTGTGGGTGGGCTCTCACAGGCCAAGCCTACGGGCACAGCTGGCACGCCTCAGCCCATTCACTCATGCTACAACCAGGACAGAGCCCGCCCAACCATCGGCGTGGGCAGAAACTGGGGAGCAGCTCCCCAGAGGCCTTTCAGACAGGACTGGGCGGCTCTCTGCGGCTCTCTGGAGCAGAGGGAACGCGAATGAATACTGTCCATTTGCTTGAGGAAAACCTCCCTTCCTCTCCCAAGCCCCGCTGAACGCTGGGAAGGAAGCACACAGTGAAGTACTAACCCGGACACTCTCTTGTTGACGTTAAACTGCTCACAGATGTCCGATGCCAGCACCGTGAGCTGGGGCCCCACGATGCTGTCCAGTCTCCGGCAGAAGTCCAGCGTGGGCTGCACGGAGGCTGCAGGGAAGGCAGAAACAGTGAGTGACCGTGTTCAGGGGTGAAAAGATCACTGTCCACTTTACTGTCTTAACAGTTTTGCTGTCTTTACTGAACTATGGATCTGGGGGATGAAGCAATTAAATGATCAGATCTCCCTACACCTCCCCCCGCCCTCCAATAGAAGAGAAACAGAAGAATCAAAATTACATTTAAGATGGAAATAAACAACAAAAGCAAAGACCTGGCTCACTGAGAATGCTGACGTTAGCATGTGCTGTGGGTGGTAAATGGGCTGTCCACCCCAAGTCAACCCAAGAAGGTCGAATATTTAACAACATCACACAGCACGGATGGGCCACGTCCGGGGCTCTTCAACTGTGATCTCATTTAATTGGCAAAGCCCCCTAGACAGTGCCTCTGTTCCCTCCCACAGCCGGGGGCACAGAGAGCCCAGGTCCTGCTGCTGACAAAGGCAAAACGAGGACTCGACTTCCCTCGATGCTGCTTATGGCATGTTTACTGTTCAGGGACAGAACACAGCGAACTGCAGACAGACAAGGCCTGTCTGAGGCTGGCGTCTGACACAGTGTGTACCTACCGTCAATCATGAAGCACACAGCTGCGCTCATGGCCTGGGAGAGAAAACACAGCCGAGGTTACAGGGCAGGACAGAGGGAAGGCTGCAGAGCGGACACAGCTGCTGGAGGCTCATTCCAGCATGTCCTAAATGCAAGAAGTTTCATCAAAAGGTTGATGGAACCCTGAGGCTTCAGCAGGGCTGAAGATATATATATTACTGCCTACTGGAAGGGCCGAAGGCATTTCCCCAAACCTGAATTTACATACGTGATTGCTTGCTGCCAGAGAGCTGAGGGCATTTTAATCTGCAAGTTATTGCCTCCTGCTGGCCAAACACCTGAACAGCCAAGGCAGTTCCCCCAATCTGACAATGCCTACTGTATACTCAACCTTACCTCTGATATGTATATCTACTTTGCTATAGGGAAAAATGTGGGAATAAAAAAAGCCCTGAGTCCAGAGATAGGAGAAGCTTCCTCTGGCTCCCCCATGGATTACAAATTTATATTTCTAGTCTCTTTATTAATTTACGTGCAGCACCTTCTCCAGATTCCCGAACCCTTCTAGATGCTGGAGAAAGACCCCGGCATGGAGCAACCTGGCTGGACTCCTGATTGGACAAATCACCTTTAGAAAGGTATTTTCTGGCCAACTGGAGAAATCTGGATATGGAATGAGCACTAGATGAGATTAAGGAAGAACTGAGACTATGCCTACAGAATGAGCAAGTCCACATCTGTAAATCGCACGAGGGCAGTACTCAGGCAAGTGTGGGCAGGCCTGTGCCGGGGGCGTCCAACCAGCACACAGGACGCCAGGCCTTGGACAGTTACTCTCTCACAAGTAAGGAAACGCCTTCCCAGGAGCTGGAAAGGAAGGCACTATTCCAGGAGGGCACCCATGTTGAGTGTCACAGTAACGTTCACCTTCTGAGAACATGTAAGAGATTTGCACACACATGGACACACATGGATTTGGTGTTAACCGGGAACACTGGAGAGAAAACAGCTGTTACCTTATAAACGATGAGATGGAGGGCTTCGTAAGTGTCATCGGTATTTACAAAGATTTTGGGGAATCTGCATTTTGCTTCTGGATCATTAAGGTTCAAGGGTCCAGTCAGAAATCTGAGAAGCAAGCAAGAGATGACTCGATTAAACTAGGAAAATTATAAACAGGAATATACAGGGTGGGTAACGGTAGGTCTACATTGTGAGCATGCAAAACACTGAGTTCATTCTTATTTATTTTTGCATTAGTTTCCATTTGAACAACTAAGTCTACCTTGCCCACCCTGTATATGTAGAGTACATTCTACTTAATATGCAGCCAGTTTTTGGGGAAACTAGATACTATTTATAAAACACCAAATCAGAATACAAAAAAGTAATGGTTTTAATTCACTGGAAACAAGAGAATTCCTTTGTTGATCATCTATCAATATATATAAAAGCCTAAGTGACCAATGGTTGACTGGTTGCTATGATGTGCATTGACCACCAGGGGACAGATGCTCAATGCACAGAATTGGGCTTCCTCCAGTCTGGATCGGGCCTGTGGGGATCGGGATGAAACCAGCTGACATCCCCCGAGGGGCCCCAGATTATAGTAGGGTGCAAGCCAGGCAGAGGGACCCCCACAGGTGCATGAATCCGTGCACCGGGACTGTAGTTATCACAAAGCAGCACAAAGGTAATTATGGGTTCATGATTTTATCTTTACCAAGGAAGATGACAAACTCCCAATACCGCACACTGAAGAACAGAGTCCTACCTTCCATAGTGCTGAAGATTTCCTGGCATTTCTGCCCTGATGGGAGAATCCCTTCCTGCCAACTGTGAACAAATGGGTGTTGAGAAATGACTTATTAGATTGTCTCCTTTCACAGCTTTGAAAAGCAGTATTCATCTACCAGCTGGCTCTGGGCCACTTTTCTACATCAATTTCCCCACTCCTTCCATCCAGGAAAGAAGCGGCTCACAGACACAGAGAACTCACTTTAACCAGAACCGTCACAACGTAACTTCCCTGCGCCTAAATTCCACATCCCAATTTAGTGCTTTTAGAGCAATGACTGAAATCTCTCACGCAGTCAGTGCATCCTCGCAATGACATCAATTACTCCACTTCACCTTGTCTCCCCTGTGAGAACATTCTCTTCCTATTTTCTAGATGTGGCAACTGAAGTCCACCGACGGTCACCAGCGCACACGAGGCTCAAACCCAGGCTCCTGCCCTCTGCCAGGGCGTCATGCCTCCTCCTCGACTTCTATTTATAGCACGTTCCTAGTTTCCTTTGCTAAGGATGTACTATTTCAATACGCATAGAAAATAAATAAAAAGCACCCCAACCCAACAGTCATACCAGCTTAAACACCTTGTTACTCTTCTAAAACATGATGTGAGAGCCGAAACCAGTTTGGCTCAGTGGTAGAGCGTCGGTCTGCAGACTGAAAGGTCCCGGGTTCGATTCCGGTCAAGGGCATGTACGTTGGTTGCGGGCACATCCCCGGTAGGGGGTGTGCAAGAGGCAGCTGGTCGATGTTTCTCTCTCATCGACGTTTCTAACTCTCTATCTCTCTACCTTCCTCTCTGTAAAAAAATCAATAAAATATATTTTTTTAAAAATGATGTGAGAACTGTTGTCAGGAGATGCGTGCTTGCTGGGCCATAGCTCAGTGTCTGGCCTACAGCACACATTCAAATACAGTCAATCAATCTACTCAGATTACCTAGAGAGGAACAACGCGCAGGACCAGCTCCTTCTCAAAACCTTGCTCTCAGCTTCTTATCAAAGACATTTTTCTTGTTCTAAGTCATGGCTTTAAAAATCAGGGAGAGGGAGGGAGGGGCAGAGGGAGAGAGAGAACCAGCGTACACGCGCTCCTGGGCCGAGAGGAAGCTTTTATGGGCTATGAACACTTTCACTCCCAGTACAATTAAAGCTACAAAAGGACGCTGGGAGAGCTGCGCAGTTTTTTCAGTTCTGCGCAGGAAGTCAGAGAGTAAGTACCAGAGTGGGAAGGCTGTGTGACATCTACTCCAAATTAGATCACATGCTGGAGATGAAAAGACGATGAGTAACCACTGATCTGTCAAAGGTCCTGGCATTTTCCAAATTCCCAGAACCCGACCTAAACATCAGTTCTCCCTCTACTCAGTGAACTGCTCCTTTAAAAACACGCCTTTGCTCTTGCCTTTGCGCGTAACAAAATGAGAAGAGCTGACACAGGTGGCTCCCTGTGTTAAGTGAAATACAGGTAAACAGGTCTCCACTACATATCACACCGATGATGTAAAATAGATATCGAAGCTGCCCTAGCCACATGTGCATGTGTACACACATACGTGCAAACATGCATATACCCACCTCCCCACCTATCTACAGAGAGACATTAGCACCCAATCGTACCTCGGGTTCGATATGCCTTGGAAAGAGGGACGTGGTGAGGTATTTGTATAAAATTCTCATGTCATCTTGTTCCAATCCACTCCTGAAACAGAGAAGCACTGTCAGACGTGGCTCCACGGGAAAGCTCATCTCCTCTCCCACGGAAGATCGAGAGCCTCCTTGACTGGGAGGCTGCAGAGGGAATGTCACGCCTGCGTCCGGCCCTGGGCCCTGCTGAAGGCCACGCACTGCCCGGGCCAGCCCCAGGACCAGATTCTCCGGCAAGTTCCGCAGGACTCTGGGGAGCATTAGTGACCACAATGCTCCCCTTCAGGTGGGAGGTGTCGCGTGGCTTGGCTTCTGGCCATGCAGTGCCACGTTCTTTTGCTCAGCTGTATTGGGCTACAATATATAATATTGTAATTAACGTAACCAGTTTCTTTTTATCTTATCTCGGCTATTGGAAACTTCTAAAGCACCTGAGTGTTGTACTTTATACTCTCACCATCCAGGGCTGTCCTAGACCGGAGGGCGTGGAGTGGAAACGCCCTATAAAAGGAACTGGCAAAATTCCTTAACTGCTGACCAGTCCATGCACCTGGGGCTTTGTTTTTATTATTGCACTTAAGATGCTAGGCCGTAAGTCCTTCGGTGCTGGTTTTCTGGGTAGGACATTTTAGCAAATTAAGTTGCAGCCAGCAGTTCAGAGCACAGACCAGCAGGTGCCTCTGCTTGCCCAGTTATAGGGTCTCCACCAGCTCTGACCAAGCAACTCTCCATCCAGGATCCTGCCTGTGCTCCCCTCAGAAACAAATGAAGTAATGTTCTGTTAGTTATGCCAGATGGTACCTCTGGGGGCAAGTTCTTTTAACTGCATGGCAATCTTCAATTATCTCAAAATACAAGTTTTTAAAACACCAAACAAGAGTTCCTTCCTTAGCACAGACAGACAACCACACGAAGCCAACAAAACCCTGCACTGCCGGCCCAAGGAGTCAGGACTCCACCACAGGAAAGAGCACCTCGGGCTCAGAAGTACAGCTTTCTCAGTCTCTCAAATAGTTATTTCAAGGAATTTTTTTCCCTTTAAAAAACAGAACTTTCCTTCCGTTCAAAGTGAGTCACTTGTGTGCATGCAATGCTACTACTTTGTCAAGACTGACTGCTTTTTCTGGTTTATGGATCTACTGGGGGCCCGATGCATGAAATTCATGTGAGAGTAGGTCTTCCTTCCCCTGGCTGCCAGCACCAGCTTCCCTCTGGCACCCAGGACCCGTGCTTCCCTGCAGACAGTTGTCTGGAAGGACGTCCATTCTAATTAGGATATTACGCTTTTATTATTATAGACTAGAGGCCCGGTGCACGACATTCATGCACTGGGGAGGGGGTCCCTCAGCTAGACTGTACCCTCTCGCAGTCTGGGACCCCTCGGGGGATATCCCACTGCTGTGGAGGTGGAAGAGGCTCCCTCCACCGCCACTGTGTTCGCCAGCCATGAGCCAGCATCTAGCTGAGTGGCGTTCCCCCTGTGGGAGCACTCTGACCACCAGGGGGCAGTTCCAGTGTTGAACATCTGCCCCCTGGTGGTCAGTCCACGCCATAGCGACCAGTCATTCTGCAGTTGGGTCGATTTGCATATTAGCCTTTTATTATATAGGGTAACTCTGTGTCCTGTGTTGGTGTCATTGCTAAATGGGCTTCCACTGTTTTGCTCTAAGACCTCCACAAATGCTCTGAGGGATGCAACCACCACAAGGCTGCACACGACACACGGCGTGCATGTCAGTAGAGCACACCCAGCTTCTGGAGACGGCACCCAGTTATTTAATTCGGGCACTTCCGTCGGCAGAAGCACTGTCAAGAACAGGGCTGTGATCACCCAAGGCACAATCCTCACCTAGGATCAGTTTAGTCCAGAACTCAGACTTACTGTCTTATATGGAATATAACATAATCCAGCCAAGATCAAAGAGCATGGTCAGCTCTGATTAACTCAACATACCTAAGGCATTTATTTATAAAAGCATTAAGCCCTGAAAAGTCAGTCAGTTCAGTAAGGGGAAAATTCTCCTAAAAAATAGCCAAAAACTTTGGACAAAAAAATCATCTGAGCTCTGGCTGAGCAGCTGTTACTTGAAGCGTCATCCTACACCAAAAGGTTGCAGGTTCAATCCCGGGTCAACCACGTGTACTAGAGGTGACCAATCAATGTTTCTCTCCTTTCTCTCTCTCAAATCAATAAAAGCATGTCCTCTGGTGAGGACTAAAAAAAAAAAAAAAAAAAAATAGTCAACTGATATCTTCCCATGAACAGCAATAATATCTAATCCTATCACAGCCAACACCAAATCCATTCAGGGCGTACGTACCAGATGAGTTGGTCATTGTAGAGAAAGGCAGTGTATTTGACTATACTCAGGCTCTCCTCCATCCTATTAATAAAGGACTGGATTTTCAAATAAGTCATTTTATCCAACGGGAAGAAGCTGATTCCACCAAAAATGTCGAGTAGATCACATGACTGCAAATGCAGCGTTTGCAAATACTGTAGGAAAAAGTAAGGCATAACGTTTATAAATAAGTACACTGAATGTAGTCCTCTTTCACAACGGAAGATAATTAGCTGATTAATGGTACAGCACAATCACACAACGGCAACAGCACACAGACAAGCCAGCCAGCAGGTGCATCACAGGTAACCGGATGTGAAATCAGTACCAATTTCAAAGTATAACGTTCAAACACACTCTTTCATGTTTCCTTGGTATTGTGTTTTCTCTCTCTGAAGCATTTAATTCCTTTTATTAGTGCTTCTCAAATTAGGTTAGCCTCATTTGTCACGGATACACTCAGTGACTTAATGCCTTACATCAAAATCATGTTCAAGGGCACGTGGCCGTTGTGCCAGGGATGGGCACAAGAGCAGGAAGCAGGAGATGGTATGAGAGTGAATAGTTATGGTCACTGAAGTGAAGAACAAATAAGTAATTCACAAAAATATAATAATTCAAAAGTAGGTTATTGAGGGTTGAGGTTGGGTGAGATAGGCAAAATTCCATTCGCGGTGAAAGAGAATGGCAGCTACGTAGGGACATTCACGTATCACTGGGAAAATCACACTGATCGCCACTGCTGTGATGAAGTCTGGGTCACAGCCAGACACTTCTGGCCCGTTACGTGAACAGAATCAATCCATAAGCGTGCTCAACTCAGTGAAGCGTTTACATTTTGCTAACCAACCAACCCGCCGTACAGTAAGTACACTTTTGATAAGCTCTCTCTGACGGACGCAGGAGAACAGGTGAAACAGAATCACGTCTCAAGATGCTTAAAGGAGCTGTGCACCAGCACTGAGACGCTCCCACCTACCAGTAGGTTAGGAAAAGATTCACGCGCAGGTCTAATGAGTTTCCTCACTGGGCAGGGTCTGCCACAGTGTATCTTAGGCTCTTTGTCACTTTCAAGTTCTGGGATTTTTTGTAGGAGAGAAAGTTGTCTCCATAGAAAGATCTATCTGGACACGACGAAGATTGTAAATAAAATTCAAAATACTTACCCGATGGAAGAATTTCTCTAATCTTTCTTTTAGGAGCTTGACACCTCCGTCTTCCATGGCTCTCATAAATGTCCCATTAAAAAGCTAAGGGTGCAGAAGGTTTTAAAAAGTCAGTTTCCCATGCCCTTCAATCATCCGGTATGACAAGTTGTCCTTTTACTTTTAGCTTCATGAATTTGACTGACTTAATTCCCCGTCCCTTTTAAATATAGAATCTAGTCACATGAGAAAGGAGGAGTTAGAAGTCACCAAAAACTAACACGCTGTTAAGTGATGTGATTTTAATGAAATCACCTAATTATTTTGGGCACGTTTTGAACCTCAGCTCTTACCCACTTTGAACTTTACATAAGTATCGTCACCAGATTTCTTAAACCAGACAGTGTGCATTTTCCTCAAGAACTTGGACTGTCTTGTTCACCAATGGGGATGCATTCCTAGTACAAGGCCAGGAATGGAGAAGTGCTCCGAGCTCAGTGAGTGAGTGTATGTACAAACTCAATACTGTTTCAGAGGTCCCGTAATTTCCTCCCCTCACCCACCCACACAGTCACCATGCAATAATGTAAAGAATTAACAATTATTTTTAAACAACTCCTGTCAATGGGGGTAACTGGCTAGATTCAATCCAGAAAGAACGTCACTCTTACCTTGTACATGCTGTAGCACTGCTGGAGCACAGAACTATAAACTTTGTCCTGCAAACAACACAGACACAGCACACATCTCAAATAGAAAGGAAATTCTATTACACGGTAGGTAGAGGTACAATAACTGTTGGCAAAGCAACAAAATGTTTATAAACTTGATCCCACAATAGTTGTGTGCTGAAAAGAGAGGTATTTAAATTCATGCCCTAGCTGGTGTGGCTTAGTGGATAGAGCATCGGACTGTGGACTGAGGGGTCCCCGGTTCGATTTCAGTCAAGGGCACATGCCTGGGTTGCAGGCCTGATCTCCAGTAGGGGACGTGCAGGAGGCAGCCTATCAATGATTCTCTCTCATCATTGATGTTTCTATCTCTCTTTCTCCCTCTCCTTCCTCTCTGAAATCAATAAAATAAATAATTTAAAAATAAATAAATATATAAGTTCAATTATAAAGCAGGAAGCCTGATTGCAGGCGGGATTTTCACATGGATGATGAGTAGAAGGCATGAGTAAGACATGGAACACCTGCCTTTGCATAAGATTGCACTAATGTAAACAGTAGATATAAAACCTCACCTGTGTGCCCTGAGGAACTTCTGCAAAGCAATGTAGCTTAAAACTGGCCAAGAAAGTCACCCAGCATACTTAGGAATAAATGTTTTTCTAAAAACATGAAATAAAAGAATGACATTACCAACAGCTCCTCCTCTTGATATTCAACAACTGGTTTTCCATCTTTACTTTGCTTTTCAATGATAGGATTCCGAACAACCTACACAATTTGATAAAATGAAATTATACAATGAATCAACCATACGTTTTAAAAATTTCCCCTAAATTTAAATATCTGAACCTGTCACAACAAAAACACACTTCTTCAAACAACCCTAAGGACAAATCCTGAACAGGAGTTGAATTTTTTGCAACCAATCTTATTGCAATTTTACTTTGATGCAATGGCCAGAGGACTAAATCCTTAACGGTAAAGATCACCCATAACTTTACAATTTCAAAAAGATGTGCTGTGCATGTAAATACCATGACCATCCAGAAATTTTCTTCTGGTTCATTGAAGAACTGCCTGTTCTTCTGTGTGTGTAAAGACTTCGCGGGCTTTGATGGACTGAAGGTCCTACAAAGGCGAGAAGGATGTGTTGGGGACAATTCGCCAGTGTAAGCTGTAAGTACTCGCTGAGCTCTGCAGAAGCACGTTGAAAGGCATTACCTTGTAAACTGTACAATGGCTTCACATAGCCCGACATTTCTAATCTTCTCATTCTTCTCTACTTCATTTGGATAATAAAACAAAATTTTGTTTTCCTCCTACGTATGAACAAACAGTACCACAACATTAACATAAAGCATTTTTAAAATCTTAGCTGTTGGAAATGCTGTTTAATGTCAACATCATATATGCTACAGGCAAAACAAAAACCATTCCCAAAGCAAAAAAAAAAAAAAATAAAGTTTTTTCAGAAAGAGAATGATCCTTTCCATGTGCAAAACGCTCATCAGACTGAAAGACAATTGTGATACTCATTAAGTCACACGGCAGCGAAGTAGCACTAGCCAATTACTCTGACACTCCGTCTCCGGAGTTCTTTCCTCCTGCTCATTTGTAATAAATACACTGCCGCCCCAAAGAAATAAGCGCGTGCGCGTGCGCAAGCTTACACCTCCCCGCGAACTAAACCCAGCAGGTCCAGGGACATTTAAACAGTCTTGACAAGGACTGTGATTTCCTGCCCCGGACATCCTTTGAGGAAGCCGCCGTCCCCCGCCGAAAGCACCAACAAACACAGAACTCCTGGAACTGGTGCATTCAGTAATTCGGAAATCTTTGCGAGGGTCCTCCCTCCGCCCAGCCTGCAAGATCGCAGGGCTGCGGCCCGCCGCTCTCCCGCGCTGCTGGTCCGGGACTTCCAGGAACAAAGACAGCAGCTCGATTAACCACTCAACCACTCAATTAACCACCCCGGGACCCGAGCAACGAGAAAGGACTCAACCCGTGTGCAGCGATTCACCCGACATTTCTTCCTTCAATGCCCGGGCACTGACCCGGGAGCCGGACAGGCTGCCAGCGCTGTCAGTCCGCGCCGGCTCCCGGATTCGGGCGCCCCTGGCACTTAGCGGTCCCGGTAGAGCCGCTGGGGGACGACGGAGGGGCAGGTGCTCCCCGGCGCTGGAGGGCGAGGGTCACCTCCCGGGCGCGCCCCGCCGCCCCGCCCCGCCCCGCTCACCTCCCCCTCGCGCGGCCCGAAGCGCGGGTTGTAGATGAAGAAGCTCAGCAGAGCCGGCGGGAGCTGCTTCTCTTGGGCCGCCCCGGCCGCCGCCGCCGCCGCCATCCCGGCCCGGCCCCCGCCTCGGGAGCCTCCCTCTGCCGGTCCCAAGACGGCCGCCTCGGGGAAACCGCACTTCCGCCTCCTGGCGGTCGCCCCGGAAGTGGTCGCGGCCGGCCCGGAAGTAGAAACCGCAGCGCGGCGTCCCCCCCCCACCCCTTCAGGCGCACCTGAGAGGAGGGTTGGTTCCCGGGCAGGCGTTTCCTCTGTGAGAGGTAAGGGGCGGGCGGCTTCTTGGCTGGGTTTGCGCCCACGATTCCACTCTGGGCCACGGCGACGGCCGCTTGTCGAAGGCAAAACGGACGGAGCAGAGTCCGGGGCAGGAGGGAGCGCGAAGGCGCCAAAGACGCCCTGAGCTGAGAGGAACCTGTGCCCGTCTCCGTCACCTACAGCCTCGCCTCGAGCATATAAGGTGTTTCTTGCTTTTTTTTTCTGCTTTTTTTAAAATTCCAACTTGAGAGACCTCAGGTGACCGTGGTTCAAACCAAACCGACGGACTGGGCTCTTTACCCCGCCTCCCCGGCGCCGGAGGAAGACTGCGGGTCTGCAGGCGCTGCCCGGCGGCCCGGAGCGCCCACGCGGGGCGCCACGGCCTCCGGAGAGCCCGTGCCTCGCGCCTCGGCGCCCGTGCATCGCCCGTTCCAGCTTTTGAGCCCTGTGGGCTATGGCGCGGTTTGGAAAGGCTCGTTGCTTCTGGGATTTGGAGTTCTAGCCGATGGAACTACAGCCGACTGCTTGGCCAAGCTCGAGACCTTAAGCCACCTTTAGATTGCCTGCCTGCTGTCAACGGGCGGTTGTTGGCATCGCTTCAACTCCAATAGGAAACCCCAATGTGGGGCACAGGGAAGGAGAATTTCTTCAAAACAGCCCAAATGCCGGACAGCACGGGGCTGGAACAGCAGGGCTGTGCGGCAGGTCAGGTGTGAGGCAGCCCAGTGTTCCAGCCTGGCCCCTCTCTGGCAAGACAGCCAGACCCTGCTGGCCCACTCTGGCCTGGCCCAGCCAGCCAGCTTCCCTGGCCCACTCTGGCCTGGCCCAGCGCCAGCAGGAAAACACAATCTGTGGTAGACAAGGAGAGCCCGTTCCCTGAGTCGGAGGGAATCTGACTTCCAGAGCAGGAAGTGCTCCCTCCCCTGGGCAGAGGAGGACTCCTAATCCTCAGTTTGATTGGTACAAACAAAACAAAACACACACTGTCCCGATTCGGCCTAATGGGGGCACCTGATTGGTCAGTGAAAATGCTTTGATGGGACTACAGCGGTGCAGCTCCCAGTGCATGGAAAAAGCCTCAGTCCTATTGGTTGAAATAGGATTCCAGGAATTCCTTTAGAAGGGTTGGCTCAGATGGCAGGCAGGCAGTTTAGGGCAGGCTGCTCCCTCCCGGAAGTGTAGCCTGTGTGAGAGGCCTCTGTTTAGCAAGGCTGCTAGGCCCTGATTTTACATTTGGCCCAATTGGCTACCAAGAGCCCTTTTTAGTAATTTCTTTCTTGGAGTCAGTAGTTGTCTGTCACAGATTAAGTTTAAAAACAGGACTTCTTATCCAACCTGGCAGAATGGGTCTTCACATTTGGGGGCACAGTGTTGGAATTTGGACATGAGAAAGACCTGAGCACCGATCCTAGCTCAGTCCCTCACTAGGTGTGAGACCTTGGACTGATTACCTAACCTTTTTCCAGTGTGTATCTCTTGTTTGTAAAATGACTAATAGTAAAGGCTTCTCTTGAAGACTTCACTATAAGAATTAAATGGGACTTTGAATTGGACATCTAGCACCCAGTATTTAATCATTATTCAACAAATTATTACTATAATTACTTACTCTTAAAAGACATTTTCAACATATGCAAATCAATATATGTGATACACTACATTAAGAAAATGAAGGGTCGCCGAAATCGGTTTGGCTCAGTGGATAAAGCGTCAGCCTGCGGACTGAAGGGTCCCAGGTTTGATTCCAGTCAAGGGCACATCCCCTACTGTTTCTAACTCTCTATCTCTCTCCCTTCCTCTCTGTAAAAAAATCAATAAAATATTAAAAAGAAAAAGAAAATGAAGGGTCAGAATCATATAATCATCTGAGTAGGTGAGAAAAAGCACTCAACAAAATTCAGCATCCTTTCATGATAAAAAATAACAATAAACAAACTCGGTACAGAAGGGATATACATCCCTTAATAATGGCCACATGTGACAAGCCCACAGTTCACAGGTGAAAGGTTGAAAGCTTTCCTCTAAGATCAGTAGTCCTCCCTAGAACAATCCGGCAAGAAAAAAAAAGAAAAGGCATCCAAATCATGAAGTGAAATTGTCTCTATTTGCAGATAACATGATCTTATATATAGAAAACCTTAAAGATTGCACCATAAACCCCTTAGAACTAAGGAAGTTGGTAAAATTGCAAGATACAATATCAGTATACAAAAATCAGTTGTTGCTAAAATGAATTATCAGAAAGAGAAAGTAAGAAAATCCCATTTACATTAGCATCAAAAAGAATAAAATAGTTCCCTAGTCAGTTTGGCTCAGTGGTTAGAGTGTCAACCCACTGATGAAGGGTCTCAGATTCGGTTCTGGTGAAGGGCACATGCCTTAGTTGCAGTCTGATCCCTGGCCCAGTTAGAGTGATAATGGGAGCAGCCAATTGATGTGTCTCTCTCACATCCATGTTTCTCTCTTTGTCTCTCCCCCTTTCATCCTCTCTAAATGTCAGTGGAAAAAATATCTTTGGGTGAGGATTAAAACAACAACCAAAGAGAAGAAAGTACTGAGAAATTTAACCAAGGAGGTGAAAGATCTATGCACTGAAAATTATAAAACACTGATGAAAGAAATCGAAGAAGGCACAAATAAATGGAAAGATGTTCTGTGTTCATGGATTGGAAGAATTAATATTGTTAAAATACCCATTCTACCTAAAGTGATCTACAAATTCAATGCAATCCTTATCAAAATTCCAATGGTAATTCTAACACAAAAACCAATCCTAAAATTCATATGGAGCCACAAAAGACCTTGAATAGACAAAGCAATCTTGAGAATGAAGAGCAAAACTGAAGTCATCACACTCCCTAATTTCAAATTACATTGCAAAACTATAGTAATCAAAACAGTATGGTGTTATAAAAACACACAAGATCATTGTAACAGAATAGAGAGCTCAGAAATAAACCCATGCACATATAGTCAATTAGTTTAAGACAAAGGAGCCAATAGTGACATTGGGAAGAGGGTAGTCTCTTCAATAAATGGTGTTGGGAAAACTGGATAGCCACATGCAAAAAAATGAAACTGGCTCTCTATTTTGCACCATACATAAAAATTCAATTCAAAATGGATTGAAGACTTGAACATAAAAGGTGAAACCATAAAACTAGAAGAAAACAGGTAAGCTCCTTGACATTGGTTATGGCAGTGATTTTTTGGAGCTGATACAAGAAGTGCATGAAACACAAAGCTTATGCACAGCAAAGGCAACCATCAACAAAATGAAGTCATCCAATGGAATAGAAAATATTTGCAAACCACAAATCCAGTAAAGGGTAAATGTGTGATACTTTTTATTAAAAATACAAAATCTGGCCTATGCCGGTTTGGCTCAGTGGTAGAGTGTCGGTCTGCGGACTGAAAGGTCCCAGGTTCGATTCCAGTCAAGGGCATGTACATTGGTTGCGGGCACATCCCCGGTAGGGGGTGTGCAAGAGGCAGCTGGTCGATGTTTCTCTCTCATCGATGTTTCTAACTCTATCTCTCTCCCTTCCTCTCTGTAAAAAATCAATAAAATATATATTTTTAAAAACAAAAACAAAATCTGGAGCAAACTCTCTTAAGTCAGGGTTCAATCAGAGAACAAGAACTATTAGACAAAATATATATGTATATATGTATTCATATATATGTATTCTATATATAATGTGATTTTTAGATGTTTATTACATGAATTAAGCTATTATGTATTGTCATTTACAGGGGTGGGCAAAGTAGGTTAAACCACCAACTATCAATACCCAAAAGATAAATCATAGATAAGGATATGAAATAATAATATAATAAAAAGACATAATACAAATAAATCTATATATATAAAAGGCCAAGTGTCTGTCCTCCCCTCCAACTGGTAGCTCTGATGCACACTGACCACCAGGGGGCACCTGGCACCAACAAACCAACACTTGGCTTCCCCCAAATGGGACACAGACCCCGCCACCACCCTGGAACAAAACTCCACCAAATCGCAGTCAATACTGCCAAGACCCTATGGCGCAAAATGCAGCCTACAACCCAGCCCAGCCCAGAAACAGTGGTTGTGGGCACCGGGTAATGACTTCACATAGCAATGCCCAGCTTCCTCTCCCTAGCAACTAGCCTCCTTGGAGTTTCTTCAGCCCAGGAACCCAATTTACTTTATAGCCAGGTGCAAAACATTTTACGGTTCAACCAAATGTCTGTGAAGCATTTTCTAATGTCTCATTTCATTTGATCCTCACAGAAGTCCTGGAGTAGGTAGATAGAGGACTCGGTAGAATCTTATTTTCTTTTAATTAGTCAAAAAACAGATTTAGAAAGTTTAGAAACTTGACCCGACTGAAAAGAAGTAATAAATGGTGGAACTTGAAAATGAATCCAGGTTTTCTCACTGTGCAGAATATAATCAAACACTGCTGCAGTTAAATATTTTACCCTTCGTTCTCCCTGTGTGATCTATAATAATAATCTGTTTTGTGTTGATATTTACTGCTGTGTTGCTGACAATTATCTGAAAGAGAAGTTTGGGGGCTTCACTGGGCTGGAAAAAGTATGGCTAAATCAGAAAGCAGGTCTAATTAAAGGCTAAGTTGACTCACACATGTGCGATATAATAAAGCTCTCACTGGCATCACTCGTACCTGTGTGTTTGCATCTGTCATTGTCAATTGCAAATTTGGTTAACACTTCTATTATAGAGAAAGGGTGAATAGCAATATTAAAACATTTCTTCTAATTAATTTCCTTTCAGTATGCATGAATCTGTGCACTGGGACACTAGTAATATAATAGTTAATAATTAATAATACAAGAATAAACTGTTTTGTGCACTCACAACTATAAACCTACTTTTTGTATGTCTGCAGAGCAGGCAGTCAGGAAGGGATGATGGATATAAAGAGAGAGAACGAAGTCAGGCTGGGACCCAGGAGGACAGACTGGAATTCATGTCAGTGTCCCACACCCCCAACTCCGATAATGGGGAGTCCTCCAGGTAAAGCCGATGTCCCTCGTCACTGAAGGAAACCTATATCTGGAACTGGGAGCTGAAGAAGGAGCCCACACCAAGGAGGGGAGCTGGAAGGTAAGTGACCACCCCACACGGACTTCCGGAGGATAAATACTCGGACAGTTGCTTCTCCCCCACCCTCCAAATCTCAGGCCAAATGGCTCTTGTGGCCCATCCTAACAGTACCTACAGCCTACGCTAGTTGACAGGTTACCAAGCCACCAGACAATTCACATCAAGATTCGATCAAGTGAGGAGGATAGGTACACAGGTGTTTATGTCTCTGCGTATTCCCACCTGACTGCTTCAAATACTTTACGACTCAAAAGTAATTTAAGGTGTGAATCCATATATTCATTGTAGAAGTCTTATGCAAATGATGTCAAAATCCACTCCCTGGCCAAAAAAGTTGCTTTTGGAAGCCAGTTACAACATTATGTAAATGAATAGCCTTCCCAGTGAATAAATTAACAGGCCCGGTGGAAGCGATCCTGGTGATTCCAATTTCATCTGTCTTCTTAAGTGTTTGCACAGTAATCCCACCCCTGAGCATGAGCAGAGGAGATAGAAGATAGGTTTTTGCTTGAAATTGGATTCCCGGGTACTCATTACACAGCATTAAACTGCAGTCGTTACGCAGAATGAGCTATGGAGCTTGTAAACCAACAGACAAGTATTTTAGAAACCTCCCTTGTTGGCTACACTCTCTATTTGAGCTGGCAGGGGCTGTGAAAGCCTGCACATTAAAAGAAATCATGCATGTATTTTATAATATGCTGTCCTGAAGCCAAACACCCAATGATAGTTGAAATATTTTAATCCTTCTTATAAGCCTCAGCAATGATGGAGCATTCATGAAGCTGGCATTGCGATCATGTTCTGTTTATTATAAAGTATGAGACAAAATGATAAGTAAAAACCGTCCAAATTAAAGGTACTGTTACTTCCCTATTTTATAAGCAATCAGGAAAAAGAACAGACATGACCTCTGTCCCCATGATGCCACCCAGACCCTTGTTTCAAAGGCAGAATACATGATTCCTCCAGGCAGGTCGGCGGGCACCTGCAAGCTAGGCCAGCCAAGCAAACAGCCAGAAAGGTGAAGTTGTTTAGATGCCTGTCAAGTCCTTTCCTGGGTGGTTGGGATTTTATTTAGGGTTTTTCCAGTTTTGATTTGACTCTGGATATGTTATATTTAAAAATGTTCCCTGACATATAGAATTACAGTTGAGTCTAAAAGAACTGAGTAGAAATTTCAGGAACATGGTAAGTATGCCTTATTAAAATCAGAATTTGTTCCTTTGGCTTGGTGTGAATAACTGAGTGAATTCTGCGTCTTTGTGTTGAGTGTTCTGTAATTACTCAGCGCTGCTTTTAGAAAGGCCCCGGTCTTATCTCACTGTTTTGTGATCCTCCCAGCTGGCGGTCATACTGTTAGCATTTTGCTGTATATCCTTTCGCTCTTTTTTTTTCTGTGAGGGGCATACTGAATAGGACCCATTTGCTTTGCATGAAATTTATATAATGACTAAAGTTGAGTAGTTTCTGAAAACATTTTTTTGTTTTTGTTTTCAAATCATACTTTACCAAAGATTTGGAAATGCTAATGTTTTTGCGATATTTAAACCTAGAAAAATAACAAAACAAAACAAAAAACAGTGCTAATTAACAAAAATGATCAAACTCCCAGAGCTGTTATTACCTGTATTCAGAAATGGAATGCCCACCCCTGCTCCCCAAAACACCCAAATCCAAATAACACAATTAAACATTGATATGGGTAAAGACAAGATTATTGTTTCATTTAAGCACACCACCCGGCACTTTTTGGGTGTTAAACACAAAAAGATGTCTCCTTTGATTGCTACTTCTTATCTGTTGGCAGAGACTCTAAAATTAATTTCCTAAAACTGGGCTGGAAAAATGAAAAAGTACTTTATTTAAAATGGGCAAAAATAATTTGAGTTATACTTTTGAAACAGTAGAATGAACCAGATTCATGAAGAGCTGACCATCACTCTCTGGACAATATGTGGCAATTTATCCTCTCGTATACATCTGTCCTCTAAGCATTTTCCCCAACACAGAACATCAGTGTGACCCAATGACACGGCATCCTTTGCTCCGAAGAAGGACCCTTCTAGCCGTGATTCTCATACAGATGCCCTCTGAGTGGCAGAGAGGAAAGAAGAGAAACCCAGGATCTTTGCTTCGATTGGGGGGTGAGACGGCCTTTGCTGGTCCAGAGGGTGGTGCTGGCTTTTAATGACTAATTAACAGCTCACCACCCTTATTTTTAAAGCATCAATAGTCACATGTGACGGTAGCCAGAGCCCTCAGTGGAAGGAGCTACTCAGAGGCTGCCTTTGCTGAGGAAGGCGATGGAGTGAGCCCAGAGGAAGGGGAGGATCTGCGCATCTGCGTATGGTGGGAGGTGACGCCAGAATCAAGCCTCATAGGTCAGCAGAGGCCAGGAAGGCCCTCCTATTTCGAGGGATTGACAAATGCAGCCTGGGGGACATTTTCACAAGCCAAGAGGAAGGCAGGGGTGAGAGGAGGATGGAGTGCAGGCAGGGGTGAGGCGAGGAGAGGATGGAGTACAGGGGTATGCAGGGAGGCAATGGAGGAGCCGCCACGAAGTGACAGTTTGGTTGTCCGGCTCTCCCCAAAGACTTCTTCACTTTCCAGCTGTGTTTCCCCATTTTGACTCTTTTGAAAATTGCCTTTGTGGTTTTGTCCCTTGAATCCCATCCCCACTGATACTCGTCCTCCAGGTCGCTGTGCTCTCCAAGGTCCCCTGCTCCCCTTAGCCTGGTCTCAGATACTGGGGCCATATGTGCGGGCTTGTTTTCTCTGATGCACATAAATTAAACACGTGGTTGTTAAACGAGTGTTCACCCTGTCCCTCTAAAGTCACTTTGAGGCCCCCAGTAGTCTGTACCCCCAGACTTAAAAGCTGCGCTCCATGACCTAAAAGCCGGGGGTTCACAGTCACTGAATGATGGAGGAGCCCCTTCAGACTGAGTTTTAAAAGGGTGCCCAGAGAAATGCCCAGTTCCTCCCAGGAGCCCTGGGCCCCGGGGCGGGCAGCCGGAGCAGAGCGTCAGCCTGCCACCTGGAAGGCAGCCCAGGGAGAGTTTCCTGGCCCGAGACCGCCCCCCTCATGCCACCTGTAACAGGACCCCCCATCTCGCCTCGGATGTTAGGCAGTTCTCGGTGTAATTGGTTCAGGTGGCATCAAGTAGAAGCCAGGAAAATAGTGGCTGAGAAAGGGGGGGGGTGGGAGCAGCAGGAGTCGGGTCAGAACAGGAAAGTCTCAGCTTGTTTTTTTAAGAAAACGAAACAACAGGTTTGAAAATGGGTCTGCCTGTGCTCACCTAGCATGGTCAGCCTCCTGGGCCTCACCCCCCACTGTGGCCTCCCACTTTTTTCTGCCTTGTCCCTAGTTGCTTTTCCTTAAAGCTCTCTTATGGAAACCTAACACCCAGTGGCAGAAAGCACATAAGCGAGAGCAGATTTATGCTGTCTAAAACCCCTTCCTGTTACTCTCTGACGCGGATAAATCGCAGAGAAAAACCTAGCTTGCCAGTGCCAACTTGTCTGTGACATTTTTTTTCCAACCTGTTTTCTCTGTTCGCTCATGTACAGCACAAACGCTGCTTGCTTAGTGCTTGCCGGGACCAGGCATCTCTAAGAGTTCCCTAAGTGCTCTCATCCGTCTCCCTTCCTGAGAAAAAACCACACCCACACACCAGCAGGTGATGAGAAACGTGTCTTTATTGGATGATGTTAAAGGCGTTTCTGCTGAGGGCCTCCCGGGAGTCATCAGGGCAAACCCACCACCGAAAAGTCTGTTACTCACTAAACACCGCGCGGCCGCAGGAGCACTCCAGAGGAAATTAGTAAATAAATAAATTAGGGGGGAGGTGGGGGGTTTCCCGTTTTCCTGGGGGTCTGGAGGCCTTCCAGCTGATTGTGTCTATCTCCAAGGTCTGGGCTCTTTAAGAATGTACCATTTCCTGGAATTCTAGAACAGAAGAGGTGAGAACAGGGTCAGTGGGGATGGCTCAGTCCCTTACAGACACTGTGGCCCGGGAGAGTGCTGAAGAGGAAAGAAAGGGAGCAAATGTCAGGCAGTGGGCATGGCCCCTCAAAGGGCACAGAAGGAAGGAAGTGTGAGCGCACCGACCACATGCAGGCGGTCTAAGTGTCTCCTCCTCCTGCCTGGTCTCCTGTAAGCACTTCCTGTAGCTGTGCTCAGAGCCCCTGTGTTAGAACCTGCCCCCCTCCCCCTTCCCCCCTCCCCCCCTCTCTTTGGCCATGAGTGAATTCGGTACAACGGCCCATCAGTCTGTGAACTTTACCTTTTTGTCTGGTCAGTTTAGGACAGAATGGGAGGGTTTCTTCTATTCTTTAGCGACATTTTGCATTTTGGGAAACATTTAATAAGATGAGAATTGGAACTCACTTTTCTCTTTGAATCTTTACCATGCCCCTAACAGTTTATATTACTGAAAAGTTAATAATGATATTACTAATAATGATGTAGACGCTCCGGATAGGAATCGAACACGGGACTTACTTCATATTTACTAGGAAGCTTTGCCTGTTTGGAAGTCTTTCATGGTTAGGTTGAAAAAAATCAATCTCTCCTTACCCAAACTAGAAGCGACACCACCTCCCGGTGTGCACAGGTATCCTGGCATCATTTGGATGAGATTTTTAAAATAAGCATCTAAAGGAGCAGCTTTTAATTTCAAGAGAATACCACCATCAGGCCACACATCCATTCTGCGCTGGCATGCGCATAGTAGCTAGCGAGCACACGAGCAGCAGGACAGAATCCTATGAACACACCCTGCACCAGACAAGTGTGCTACAAGTGGTGTGCCGGCTCTGCACACAGAAGGCTCCATGAATGGGGTTTCAGCCTGTTAGGTGGTCTCTGTGTAACATTGTCCATTCTGTGGGCTGTATCCAATAAAACGTATTTGTTTAAACTCTTAAAGCTAAGAGGCTTTCCTGCTCTAGACAATAGGCCCTTTAAGCATGAGACACTCTTGAGAATGTGGATCCCTCCCTCGCTCAGAGGGGCTCAAATGCCTCAGGTGGGGATTCCTTTCCTTATTTTCAAAGCAAACCAGGCTGTCTTGCAAATAATTGGCCAGGCAACTCGCTAGTCCCCTAGTCAGGTAAAGGATATTTCCTGGTTCATAGACAGTGTCCAGCGGGACCAGCTTCCATGGTACAGCCTCAGGCACGTGCCAGTCTTTCCTTACATCAATTGCGCCCTCACTTTAGTCCCATTTCACAGATGAGAAGACGGAGGCTCAGCAAGGTTAAGAAGGGGGGCTTTTAACCCACATCCATCTGATCTCACGGCCCAAGTGCCCTGATGCTCCCTGAGCGAGTGTTTTTATGGTCTGTGAGGTGTGAGCTTACCCTCAGCCCCGATTTTCCCATCTCCATCATTATCTGCAGCCGCCATCAGGGACTTGGTTTCTGTCTCGGTCAGCTCTCTAGCACCACTCTCAAACTTCTGGAGGAAAAACCTACAGGATAACAGAGACCGGGGGGATTTTCTGAAAGTCCAGGCACTGCCCCGCTTACCCTTTCTTTTCCTCCTGAAGCGACAAACCACCTGCTCCCAGCAATTTCGGGCATCAGTCAAGGTCTGAGCAAGCAAAGTTCTCCCTCATTGTAGAAAGCGTTTGCTGGGCATTTTGTTTCAGAGAGTTTTTTTTCCAGAGTTTTGTTGATAAGTCCATTGTCCAAAGAAAACCCCTAAAACCAGCTCCTCTTGGCCCCGCCAGTCTTAGGTGCCCATGTTTCGACATGTGGCCCGCAGACTCCGGTCCTTCCCATGAAGAGATACCGAGCAGCTGGCCTCCACGGCACCCCAGCCCCACCAGCAGTGCCAGAGAGACTCAGGACAAAGCTTACTTAAGCTCTTCTTCATCCAGGTAGCCACTCTGGTCGTTGTCTATGAACCGGAACACATCCTTCACCTGGCTGGCCGACATCTTGGAGAGGCCTGATGTCTGGAAGAATTTTTGGGGCTCAAAAGTATCTGGGTCTGAAGAACAGAGAAAGGGTCATTCCGGGGCTCACTGGACCGCATCCCGTGTTTGGCCAAGATGCTGAAAGCATGGGTTATTAAAAACAATGGTGTCACTGAGCCACAAGGATGCTCTGCTCAAAAAAATAGATCTTTTTATAGACAAAGAGGGCTGCGACTGGCTCAAGATTCTTAAGCAGCCAAGACTGGGTGGCTTCGGGTATCATCTGCTGCCCCCCGCCCCAGCTTTTCTCTCCACTGGTTCCCCCATCTCTCTCTGCCCCCCTGTGCCTTCTCTGCCCATTTTACAGGCCGTGTCCCCAAGCCCCCGGCATCCTGGCCTCCTCGGGGAGGGGAATGCGATTGTTGGAGTCAAACAGGTGCACAGCAGCCACTGACCTCTTTTCTCACTGTGCGTTTCTCTCGCCTTACAGAAATGAGATCTCATGTCCCCGTAATCTTAGTTAATCAATAACAGTTTTATTCTCTGATCTCATGAACTTTCGGCAAAGTTCACGTGTTCATTTTCTGTGGCTTTGCCGGAAGTGCAAGCATCAGGGGAAAACCCGCCCGTGCCTCAGTTGCCCTTTACCTTGGCACTCCTGCAGGGCGGCTGCAATGTCTTCTGCGCTGAGGACGTCTGTGATGCTCATTGTCCACCTGTCCGCATGGGAGAAGGGGCATCTGGTGAGTGGGTGCAGGAACAGGCTCATCTTGGGGGAGTCCCCCCTCTTTAGCCCGTGGAAACAGTACATTCATTGAGAGTTTTAAAAATGTAATAAGCGTGGTATTAAGTGATGGGACAGAATATCCAAACAGAAACCAAATACTGGAAAGACCGCAGCCATCTTTGTTTCAGGGCCCTCTCCCGAATATACTCCAATGATGAAAACCAGTTTGATTTCATTTTCTTATCAAAATTACATTTACAAAATTGACCTCTTATATAAGCATCTACAAACCGTTCCCAAGTAAAGCATGTTACAGTTGAAATAGCATCTTCCTACACCCGCCAGAGAAATGCGATGTTGCAAATTCCACGTGGGAAAGGATAGACCTTCTGTGGGAGAGATGCTATTTCTCCAGAAGGATGGGAATCAGAGACATGAAAAGCCCATCTTCCGGAGATCAGAATTCTCTCAGGTGTCAACTCCATGGGAACAGAGAAATCTGAGCGCAGCACGCACCAGCCTAACAAGAACGCGTGTAGGAAAGAAGAGTCTGGGGTCTGCTGGGTCCACCAGTTACTCACCGTCTTGGATTTTCCCCCAAGAAGATTCAGAAAAAAGAGTTGAAGGAGCAAAAAAACGGATGTGCGTTTGCGTCCTTACCGACCTACCTTATATAGGATTGAAAAAGTGATAGTAAGAACCTCTTAGATTTCCTTTTCGAGGATCAAGTGGACATAGCTCAAATGTCTTGCCTTACTAATTAAGCCTCCTTTTTTTCTATTTATATCTCAAGGGAAGATGGGTGGGTACAGCCAATTTTTAAAAACAAACCTCAACAAGCCTTAACAAAGGCGTCAGTTCTGCAAACACACCCCTCTGGTGATGCCTGGAGAAGGCACTGGAGACCAGAAAGCGGTCGAAATGAGGTGGGCGCATGTGGGGTGATCCGTACATTATAAAGGGCACCCAGATGTAATGGTTGCTTCCTGACGCAGGTTTGTTTTTAACAGACTGTGGCCGTGGGAGGCCGACCACCGTCCATAGTGAGACTCACAGTCAGTGTGTCGATGGACACAGAACTTGTCCAGAACATGAACGATCCCAGGTAGATGGCTTTCTAGAAAAGCCTTGACTTTGCTATCTCCCTGCTGTATCTTAAGTTGCGCACACTAAAAAGGCAGTGGAGGGGGAACCACCAACCATTCCCAACCCCATAGCCAACATTGGCAGCAAAAATGTCAGGCCAGGACTGGGAGCCAGCAACATGATTGCATTGAGCAAACATTGAGGCCCCTCTATGGCCAGGGCTGTGCTAGACTCTTTTGTTTTTTAATTGCAGTAAATAAACACATTTTAAGTATCCCTGCAGGACAGAAGCATTAACCAGAGGCATGTGGCTGGTTGTACAACAGATCTTTAGAACTTGTTCATCTTGCAAAACTGAACTCTGCCCATTGGACCAGAGCTCCCATTCTCCCTCCTCCCAGCCCCTGGCAGCTACCATCTGCTTTCTGCCTCCAGGGGTCTGACTGCACTAGATGCTCCTACAAATGGAACCATGGCCTGTTTGTCTTCTTGTGATGGCTTGTTCCACTTGCACATGTCTTCAAGGTTCATCCAAACGGTAACATATGTCAGGATTTCCTTCTTTTTAAAGTCAAAAACCAGTCCCATGTTGCAACCAGAACTATTCAGTGGCTTAGAAGGAGACAACTCAGGGGCTCAAGGTAAAGGCCCCAGACTCCTCTGTGGGCAATACCATCTGATTGGTCATCTACAATTTGCCCCAAATCTATTCTCTGCCCCCCACCCCAGCATCGGACTTCAGCTCGTGCTAACAATAAAAGTTTCTCTCAGGAACAGCGACAGCATTTCTTAAATTACCAAACCTCGGGCCAAGCGCCATTTCTGTCCTGCCCACATTGTGTGGCCCAGTGCCCACTAGCATCGTGCCTGACCTGTTATTATTTAATGAGTAGATACATAAAAACAGCAAACACACATGCACATGCAAACACACGCAAACACACACACACACACCCCTAAAAACTCAACTTGAAAACAGGATTACCAGCCAGCATCAACTTGCCTAACTCTTAGAAAACAGTTTCTGAAAATAAGTCTCAAGAGTTTTGATTTAGGTTTCTGACATTAAGTTGTCATGGAAACTCTCTGAGCCTTTTTTCCCCTCCCAGGGAAGGCTTTATGATTGTCCATAGAGATTTAAAAAAAAAAAAAAAACCACAAAAACCTGCCCACTTAAATGAAAATAGCATATGAGTTAAACCAAGACATATGTTTTTTCTGGTAGAAAATAAAGATAGCAGAGAGTTAGTAAACGTCATTTAAATCAGCACGCTGGCCAAGATTATGACTTGAATTTCACTGTGCGCAATCCGGGGTGAAAATGTTGATTGACACAAAAAGACAAATAACCTGTGATTCCGCTAATATGAGGCACCTGGAGCCCAGTTTGCAGACACAGAAAGTAGAAGGGCGGGGATTGGGGGTTGGGGAGGGGGATGGTGAGTACTGGTCAAGTCCATCTCAGTTTCGGAAAATGAACGAGTTCTGTGGATGGATAGCGATAATGGTTGCACACCACAGAACTGTACACTTAAAAGCGGTTAAAATGGTGAAGTTCATGCTGTGTGTATTCTACCACAATTAAAAAAATGCTGGTTCAGTAGTCTTCATTATTCACACACTGGGAAATTCACACACCTGGGAAATTCACACACTGGGGCTTTAAAAAGGTCCACCCACCCAGTTTGGAGGGGAGTTCAAGTGGATGAGGGCTGGCCAGTCAGGAATACAGTGCAGCTGATCCCAAAAGAGATGACGGTGCCTCCAGCTAGGGTGGTGAGAGTGAGGTGTGGAAAGACAAGTCCAGGAATGCTTAGGAGGTGACATCTATTGAGAGACTACTCAAGTGGCAAACATTGAAACGTGGTCTTCAGACATGTTCAGGAGCTTTGACACCATCATTACAGGCCGTGATGGCACCTAGGACAGGCCAGTGAGTCAGGAGATGGGTGAGGCCAGCGTGGGTGGAGAGATGCCACAAGGCTACGGAAGCAGCAGGTGATTAGAGTGGGGGTCCTGTTCTCTCACGTCTACACGATGAGATCTCCAGGGCTCTGTAACATACACCGCTCACTTTATATTTATTATTTCCAAACCAGTAATATTTACTCAAGTAACTAGCCAATCCTTTAAATTAATAATGTTTATTCCTTGTGCCAGGCATATAACAGGCACTCCATAATAATTCATTGAATCAATGAATAAGAAAACTGATGTTCAAAGAGAAGCAGCGATCAGACTCTCAAACTGCAGAGGGAAAGTAGGGGAGGGTGGGGGTAAGGAGGAGAGATCAACCAAAGGACTTGTGTGCATGCATATGGGCCTAGCCAGTGGGTTGGGGGCATATGTGGGGAGGGATTTGGGATGGGAATGGGGGGATGAGGACAATTATGTGATATCATAATCAATAAAATTAAAAAAGAAAACTGATGTTCTGTGAGCTTGGGTAAATTCCCTGAAGTCAGACAGCTGGAAAAGCCAGAACAAGTCTGGGCCCTGTCCAGATAAGATGAGGCTTTAGGACAGTCTCGAAGGTCTTGGACCTGGCTCTGGTATCTGAGGTCTCCAGAACTTTGGGGTGACAGTGCCCCTTCCTGGAAGTTTGTCTTACTGGATGGTTTTCCCTGGGGTGTAATTCTTGGAGGGAGGGGGCCAATTCAGTGACCCCCCCCCCAGCACCTGCATCCTGGGGGAGAGCAGACAGAGAAGAGGGGGCCTGGAGCGAGAGCCAGCAGCCCTCCTTAAGTTGGGTTTAGTTGCGATTTCTCCTTAATTAACTCACTCAGTGTCCAGTAAAGGTTGCCTCCAGCCCGACGGTAAATTGAGACGGTGATGCTCACATTTCTCGTTCATGAAAAAGTCAGTCTTCTAACGCATTTTGTTTCTTTTCTCCTCTAACATTTCATACCTGCCCGAGCAGTTTGGGGCTCTCCTCATATTTTTGCCCTTGGTCAAAAATCATTCAATTGATCAAATAAACAACAGAGTTGGTCAGATGGCAAAAGCTCCAAGGACAGGTTTTTAGTGGGGGGGAAAAAAAAAAAAAAGCACTCAGGAGCTTCTTGCCAAGGAGTCCTTGAACATGGTAACCATGGCAGCTCCCGCCTCTGACCCAGATGGGATGGTGGCTGTAGCGGTGGTTGTTCTTCACAGGATGAGGAGGGTGTGCTTGGGAATCCCAGTTCTCCCACGGAGGAAGCTGGAGTGGAATAGCTGGGTCGTATAGTAGTTGTAACATTGTAAGACACTGCCAACCCTTTTTCCTAAGAACATTCACTTCAGGAGGAAAAACATGTTGAAAGGCAACTTAGAACCCATGAGAACTGCTGAGCACATAGGCAGCATATTTCTGAGTTCCAGTGCCTCCACACCCTCACCAACACTTGGCACGGTTGGGCTTCTTAATCTGGGACATTCTCGTTAGTGTGCAGTGGCGTCTCATTGCAGTTTGACTCTGAATTCCCCTAATGACTAACGAGAAGTTTCTTTTCATGTGCTTATGCTATAAACCAAATGTCTGTGTCTCCCCCAACCACAATTCATGTGTTGAAATCCTATGTGGATGGTATTTGTAGGTGGAGCCTTTGGTAAGTGATTACATCATGAGGATGGAGCCTTCATAAATGGGATTAGTGCCCTTATGTTGTTGTTTTTTTTAAATTGATTACAGAGAGGAAGGAAGAGGGAGAGAGAGAAACATCAATGAAAGAAAAACAAACAAAACAGTGATGAGAGGGAACCATTCATCAGCTGCCTTGTGCACGCCCCCAACTGGGGATTGAACCTGCAACGTGGGCATGTGCCCTGGCAGGGAATTGAATTGTGACCTCTCTCATGGGTTGGCATCAACCAATGAGCCACATGGGCCAGGCTAATGTTTCTATTAAAAAGACCCC